TGACCACTCACCTGGGGTCCTGACCTCAGCATCTGGGGGCTGACGGACAGCAGGTGTGTGGAGCACCTAAAAACAATCTTGTTCCCACCCCTGCTCATCATCCTGGAGACTCGGGGAAGGGTCAGAGGACCCCCTTTCTGAGACCTGACTGCCCCTGTGACTGAACCCCGCAGGAACCAGAGTCCGGGGGGCAAGAGGAAGGGTTAGGTTCAACACCTCACTGGGGCCAGCATCCCCAAGGGCCACAGTCCCCTCTCTGCACCAGGAAAGGGTGAGGCTACAGGTGTATGGCAGGGTTGGTGGTGGATTGCTTTAGGGACAAGAGGCTCCTTAATCAGCACTCAGACCCACAGCCAGTGCCCATCAGTGTGACTATACCAGGCCCTTCCTTCCCCACAATGAGCCCCCAGCCTAGTCCCCTTGGGCGCCCCACGAGGACCCATCCTGCCATGCTCAGCAAGACCCTTGCAGAGAAAGCTGCACAAACTTACTGAGAGCAAATCATTCTAGGAGCACCTACTCCCCTGGAAATGTGGAGCGGACAGCTGCCCCTGGGCAGCTCAGCCGGAGGGCCCCCAGTCCAGGGACCCTGCAGTCCTCAGGGCCTTCAGCATGACCTAGACCAGCTTCAAACAATAAAAACTCCAGCCCTCCCTGCCCCCAGCTCCAGATGAGTCCATCTACTGAACACCCCGTGGACCCCCTCCCCTCCGACTCTGTGGCCCCGGCTTTTTAAATTCACATGAGGAACAGGCTACAGGGAGAGCCATCTCTGCCACTGCTGACCCTCTCTGACACGCATGCACCTCCCCAAGAACTACAGAAGGAAAGCAAACTCACTCCGGGGGTTCACCACTGTGCTACCAGCAGCCGGGAAAGCGAGCTGAGAACGAACGGATCAGTGCAACGCATCACCACCGCGAAGGGTGGGGCCCAGCTGCTGAAAGGGGCCCCGGGGACAAGGACAAACGGGACTCATTTCCAGAAGCACTGCTTTCTTCAAAACCCTCCCCCCAGCACAGACGACGTTGTTCTCTGGGGACAATCTTAGGTCTGCACGGCCCTCTTCTTCGTACCTAGGACCCAGCTAAGCTGTTCCAGCTTTGCTGGGCAGGGTGGACGGGTGCCACACAGCCACAACAGGAAGACACACTTCCTCCCGCAGCGACGGCCCGGCGCATCATCACAAGTGAGGAGCCGTTTTAAGAGGCTGCTGGAGCTGTCAGCACATTGCTGCTGGAAAGCACCACTGAGCTCCAGCCTTGCAGAAGAAAGCAGCCGTGCCCGCAGCGTCTCCCACGCTCTGGGGACAGCGCGGTCGAAGGTGGGCTCAGCCTTGAGGCCCACACACACCTAAGTCACTACATGACTTA